ACAGACTAGGTTTACTCTGGAATAGTAAGTAAGTCCTAAGATTTATGGGACAATTCATCACATTTTTACAATTCTACAATAAGATATGCCTTAAGTTTCCATATGAAATACTTCTAAAATTTTTAAAATATTAATCTTGAAAGCAGTATTATTTTAAACAGTTTATTAACCAAGTAGCCAATACTGCAAGATGCTTCAGTAACCAATATTATTTGGCAACTACCTCAGGATGAAGGGGACAGGAAGAAGGGGGAGAAAGGAGGAATGAGGAGAAATGGTACAACAGCTATCTGCCACTTATTATGTTCCTAGAATGTCCCTCAGATGTCAGCACTGTTTCAGATAAACCATATCCATTCTTAAAACAGAATATTACATGACTAGTGTAAAGGAAGGAAACAAGTGTTCTACCTATATTATCAACACATTTACAATGATCCCAAATGAAGACTTATTTTAAAATGAATGTAATTACCTGTATTAAATGAATATCCTAATTCTGTGTGATAAATAGTTCTACTCAGGAAAAGTTAGCAGTGAGGAACAGTGGACATGAAGTATTCTAGAAAGAATTCAGTTCCTTCCAATCAAGCCATCACCATTCCAATTCACATAACAAAAAAAAATTAGAATAAACTTTAAAAACAACTCTAACAAAAGGAAATGTTTATACCGCAATACCTGTTGATGTATCCTAGTAATAAGTTTAATAATCAGACTGTTCTCTGGGTGTAGCATAAAATCTGAATAAGCTATAAAACTGGTTATATTAGTGAAAACTTACACAAAATGTTACAAAATCAAGATCAGAAAGCATAAAAAAGTAACCCACATACAGAGAACCCTGCAAGTTCCTTTTGTACTAAACAATATTATCTTATACCTATTTTTTAAATAAATTAGTAGTTTCTTAATATTCAAATTTCCCATTTCAAAGCAGAGGGAAACCAATTTAATGAATAGTGAATACATTAGCCATCACTGACAAGTTAGTTTATAATATCACAACTGCTTTACTTCTATAGCTACACTACAACTTAAAGAGTTCTACTACTGACATCAAAACTATTACTATATAAACAAACATAGAAACCAAAATCTTTCTAATAACTTTTTAAAAAATCAAAGAAAGTCTTTCAGCTCTTACTGACTATAAGCAGAAATCGTTCTCACAACTTAGAAATCAAAGAACGCTTTTCAAATATTGCTGGCTGTAACTAGAAAATATAATTATAAGACTCAGAAGTGACCTATGGTCTTAAGGTGCTTTCAACCCCTTGGGCTAGCACTCACTGACTTAATCCCTTCTTTCTCTCCCCTGCTCTACTTTTCTCCCTCAGGTCATCAACACTAAAACCAAGAAATGCTATAAAAGAAAAACAGCACACCAGACTCGGAACAGTCAGCCTTCTTACTGTGGTACTGTTATAACAAAATATTAGCTATACCACTCACTACAGAAATGAAATGGACCATAACAAGGAGTTAAATGAAATTGATGAAAGTGATACACATAGGATCTTGACTACATACTTAAAAGTAACCAATCATCCCCTTATAAAAATATGGAGCGCCCAGATGGTATTTAGCATGTAATACAGAGTATTTAACTATACTATTCTATTTCAATTACTGGGTCTTTTAAAGACTTAAAGACAATACTTTTGATTTGTTAAAAATCAAACCAAAGATGACATCTTGAAGCAAATCTAAGCTGTCAAAATTAACTTTATTAATATTCCTATAAACTTCCATCCCCAAAAGTTAATAATTCATTAAAAATGTAAACTGAAGATAATTCACAATCTGAAAACCTAATCTAGATAACCTAGATAGTCTTTTTTTTTTTTTTTTTTTTGATTTTACGAGGCAGGGTTTCTCTGTATTGTTTTGGAGGCTGTTGGTCCAGCCCGGCCTCGAACTCACAGAGATCCGCCTGCCTCTGCCTCCCGCGTGCTGGGATTAAAGGCATGCGCCACCACCGCCAGGCTAACCTAGATATTCTTATACATTGTTTTGCAATGGGAATGTAGTGATAGACTAATAAATGAACAAGGAATAATTCACTGCAATACTTTAATGAAAAGATAGCATCATTCTTAATCTAAAATCCCCAATAGTTTAAAGATAGTAAATAAAACCACTTATGATGCATCTCTTACAACACTTCCACTCTTTAATTCTTATGGTAGGAAGAACATGCTAGAGACTTTAGAGCCTAAAGTATACAAAATAATTTCTAAAAATTCTACTCTCTTCCCCAGGGAAGAGCACACCAATTGGTTATCCAATACTAAAGGTTCAGCCCTGAAAAATATACATACAAGAAACATTATGCAGACTAAGCATGTTATATTTATGAATTTAAGAATACATGAATTTGAAAGAGAACAAGGAGTATGAAGGAAAGGGTTTGAGGGAGGAAAATAATTTTAAAAACTTTTTAAACTACTGTCTAGAAGCCGCGCGGTGGTGGCACACACCTTTAATCCCAGCATTGGGTAGCCAGGGGCAGTCGGATCTCTGTGAGTTCAAGGCCAGTCTGGTCTACAAGAGCTAGTTCTAGGACAGCCTCCAAAGCCACAGAGAAACCCTGTCTCGGAAACAAAAAACAAAAAAGCTAGTGTCTTGAAGTTGAAGAACTAGTTCGGTAGCTCAGAGGGTGAATGCTCTTCCAGAGGACCTGAGTTTAATTCCCAGCACCCATGTCAGGCAGCTCACACCACCAGCAGTCAGCTTGAAGGGGATCAGATGTCTGGGGACTCCTTGAGAGCTAGAACTTACAGCACATACCTACACACAGACCCACACACATACACATATATAACTTAAAATTGTAAAAATAACCCTTTCTTAGCTGGGCAGTGGTGGCACATGCCTTTAATCCCAGCACTTGGGAGGCAGAGGCAGGCGGATCTCTGTGAGTTGGAGACCAGCCTGATCTACAAGAGCTAGTTCCAGGACAGCCTCCAAAGCCACAGAGAAACCCTGTCTTGAAAAACCAAAATAAATAAGAAAGAAAAATAATAACCCTTTCTTAAAACTCCACTAATAGTTTATGAAGCTGCAGGATTTCATGATACTATACATCAGACAACTAAAAAGATAAGAAATGAAATTATTAATAAGAATACAGTAAATCTGAACTGGGGATGGAACTCAAATAGTAGAGTACTTGCTTATCAAGTATAAAGACCTTGGTTCAAATCCCAGCACTATATAACTTGCACATGGTAGTGCATACCAGTAATGTTACATACCAATGTCAAGACCACCCTGACCTCACTCAAAAAAGAATAAATAAATAAATAAAAGAATATAGCGAATGCAGCCAACCACTTGATTTTTTTAACTTTTTAATATAAGTAAATATGTATGCATGTTTACAAAGTGTTTTTATACACATAGGAAAATAACATCCAAGAAAAGATATTATATGGAAGATGCACAAGTTATTTTAATAATATGGCAAAATATTTCACAGCATAAAACTGATACATAACAGGAAACCAGGAAATACAGTTTTCTCTTCTACACTAAATTATACTTGCCACTGGGACATACAAAGAGTTCTCCTACTGTTCTGCAAATGAAAAGGATATTAAATGACAATCATAATCACAGACTAGAGTGTCACTATGGGGCCATAATTTAAGGACTCAAATTCCAACTCTAGGAGCACTGAAACCTTTTAAGTCCTCAAAAAAGAAACACCACAGAATTCCTAAGTTTATGAAACACAGGGTGTAAAATTCCATATGCTTCATAAAGTATTGGGTCCTACACACCAAAAGGCAGGTAGATGCAAAGCCAGTATCTACAGAAAAACTCCCTGCTCTCAAGAGAGAGGTTGCCTGGAAAATGGTTTAAGATTTCTTACATTCCCAGCATGATGCTGGTAGGCTGTTTTGTAAAATCATTCCATTCACATTCACACATTTTTTTAACCTTGTAATATCATACTGCTAGCAATCACTCTTAGAATACTGGCAAATTGGAGACTTAAAATTTCTTTGTGTGAGCATTCTCAAATCGAGGATTGACCTGAGAGACACATTTTGAATGAATTTGAAAACCAAAACAACAATGGGCACTTAATTTTTACTTCAGAAAATTAAGCTTTACTTGGGAACAAAGATCTTCCATATAAAAATTGATTTAGCTAACTGAAAGTATTTCAACAGCACAAAATTCTATATGGCCAAAATCCTTCCAGACCTGCCGTGCCACTCACTACCAGGCTGGGCAATGATGGCAACGGCTACATGTCAGACTCCCCTCATCCAAGTGAGTGACATCAGAGGCTCAAGCGCTTGAGCCAAGCCTTCCAGCCTGAAGGTCACAGGCCGCATTCACAGGCATCACTCTAGGTCCTCCGGGTCACATCTCCACTTAGAAGCCAGGAAGCTGAAACTCTCACCAGTAAGGATGTGAGTTCAATTCACACACACACACACACACACACACACACACGCACACACACACACACACACACACACACACTTCTATTATTTCATCTCAGGAACCTAGTAATTTTTGGAACGTCCATGTTCAGTATTTTCCCTTGCTTGTGCTATACAGAGATGGAATTAAACCCACTGATCACCACCTCCTATGGCCCTGCTGTCCTAAAATAAACAGGGACTTCAACATCTCCTCCCGTCTCCAGTGATTTCCAAAGCCGGAGAAGCAGGGTTTCCATCAACACTGAACGGCTGCTACACAGCCATGCATGAGACCACTGCACTCAACATTTGCTCGCCCCGGTGTTTGCTTTAAAGCTCTGACCGCTGCACGGAAACGCAGTGAGCCCACAAACAGCGGGCCGCACACCAAGGCAACAATGAAGCGGCTTTACTCCTGGCAAAACTAGGGGAGCAAAGTCTCGACTAAGTGGCGTTGGTTCTTTTGTTATGGTTACATACGTATTTTCCATGATAGTTAATAATGCTCATGCCCAGCTTAAGAGTTAGGAGTTAAAAAAAAAAAAACTAACTTACCCCATTCCAGGTATTCAAGAATGTTCTTCTCTCTTCTCAATGGAGAATTATTGCATTCATCATAAAGACAGATGAGTATGTCCAGTAACGTCTCCACACTGAAGCACTGCCCATTGGTCTGAGCTGGCCCATCTAAAATAAACTGCTCCAACTGCCTCAAACGCACTTCTCCGGACATGTTTGCTTCGATTTCTGCTGGGTTTCTTTTAATGGCCCTTACGATGTCTACTGTTACTGTCGGAACCTAAAATTTTAAAGGTGTGGTTTTAAAAAGTAAACCACTTGTTATTTCAACAACTGTCATGCAATGCCGGTGCTGAATTAAACATCCAACACACCAGTCACCTCACTTAACGGAAGCGTCTTCAATTTCACCCATAAACATATATATCTTGAGGGTAAGTTTCCATAAAATATAGATTTAATATTTTTAAGAGAATAATACAATTAAATTGTATACTTAAATAAAATAATAATTAAAAGTACAACGAACTAAAGAGTCAACACTTCTTTCAAAAAAAAATCCTTCATTCAAAATTCAATTCGTGCAACATAATCCTGAAACGAATCCGGTTGCATCATTAATGAATAAAGTCCTCTTGGCATCAGCAATTCACTTCCCGGGAAGAAGAAAAACTGGAAAAGGAGGAGGAGGGGGGAATGTATGGAGGGGGAGGGAAAGCCAAAAATTCTGCTGCAAAAGCTCCCAACCTCCACTCGGATAGCGCCTGGGCGAGTCCTCCGCGGGAAGGGAGGGCAGCTCCCGGAGCGGCTCTCCCGGCTCGGGGCACGGCGAGCCTCCGCTCCCGAGCTCTTTCTTTCCTAGGGCTTTGCAGCGAGTCCTGATTCCAGCGGACTGCGGCGAGGACGCGTCATCTTCCTCGGGGCTTCTCCCCGGGGCCTGGCCGCCGGCGCGGCCGAGATGAGGCGGGCTGCGGGCGGCTCTCGCGCCGGACTCTGGGGGCGGCGGCTACTCGGTCGCGCGAGCCCGCTCCATGCCGGAGGCCGCTGGCGGGCCGCGCCGTGCCGCCGGGCGCAGCGCCCGGGCTCCCGCCGCCGCCCCTCGGCGAGGGGCTGCGCTGACGAATTCAAAGGACGCGGGCGACAGCCGCGGCGGCGGCGGCGGCGGCGGCGCCTCGGACAGCGACTCCTGTCCCTTCTTCACAGCCCGGGGCTGAGGGCATCTTTCCTGACGGACGCAGGCGGCTGAGGCGCGGGAGGAGGGGGGCGCTGCCGCCGCTGAGGAGACCGGAGGCTGCCGCAGCCCGGTTCCCAACCACTCCCTTCCTCCTCTGCCAGGCGCCCTCCTCCGCCCGCCCTCCCTCCCGCGCCGCTCGCGCCCGCGCCCGCGCCCGCGCCCTGGGCTCCGCGAGGCCGCTCCCGGCGCCGGGGCGCGCAGGCGGAGGCTCACGGACCGTCCGGATCCAAGATGGCGGCGCGCCCCGCCCCCCGACCCCGCACGGAGCCAAGCGCCGCGCTGCGGCCCAGCCGAGCCGGGGCCCCGCGGGAGGGGAATCGCCGTGGCTCGGGGCGCTGCGGCTGCGGCGGCGAAGGGAGCGGGGGTACCAGAGGACTCGGATGTGGAACGCGGTGGCCGGCCCGGCGAGGCACGGGCTGGGAACTGCGCCACGCTGCCTCCCCGCCGTCCGGGGTCGTCGAGGTGACTACAGACCAACCCGAGCCCGGCTCCTTCAACGTCCGCGGAGATGCCGCCCGTCCCGCACCGGCACCCTCGGCTTGCAACCGCTCTAAGAAAACACACCCTCTCCCCGCGCTGTTTACCTGCCCACCCTGCCCCCGTTTGGCTTTCCCACGCCCCAGAGTCCTAATTTCTTGTGTCCCTAATTTGTAGCACTTGTGTCATTTCCCAGGATTAAAAAAATGGTAAGAGACTGGTCTGCTCCACCATCCATGCCGGGCATGCGTGTTCTCAAAGGAGAGAGATTCCCATTTCTGCTTCCCCCAAAGTTTCCCGATGTGATGAAGCCTGGCTTTTTCTCCTCCGGAAATATACTAGAGCCAAGGTTACAGCCTGCCAGGGACAGTTCACCAATGTCATCAAACCTACAGCCCAGTCTGTCAGCACACTTTCAGGTACACACAGCCACTCTGCAACCCAGTAGCAACCCAATGCAGCAAATGCCAATCACTGAAGACTCAAGGCACCTGCTGCCGGTGGGGCCCTCGGGGTTTTGTGATCTTGGCTTTTGAGAGTTCCCTCCAAAATGTTCATGGAAGGTCCTACTTTTGCTACAGCTAAACTGGGTCATAGCATCTCTGTTACGCCCCCATACCCAGGACTGCCATCTGTGATCGGCCTCCAAAAAGTGATTATTTTATATTCCTTCCCCACACCGGTTTTCCATGGCAATGCATGCAATGAATCATTTTTACATCTCGGTAATACAGAAACAGAGGAAGAACCAGGAGTGAAGGCCTAGACATAAAAGCTGAGGTTAAAGTTGCCGTGATTCACAGGACATTGTGAGTCTCTTCTGAAATTTTTGCTTTCCAAATCTACTTTGCCTGGCATAAATAAGGACAGCATTATTTTCGATGTGTTCTTGACATATGAGTGATATTTAAATAGGTTCGGACAAATAATTAATCATTTCCAGCCATGACATCTTTTTTTTTTTTTTTTGGTTTTACGAGACAGGGCAGCCATGACATCTTTATATGTGTCTTTTCTGTAATTGTACAAGTAATGAAATTGTAAACATGAAATGAAATACTAAACTAGATAATATTATTTGATATTATCGGTTCCTGTTATTTCATTGTCATTGGTGTTTGCACATTTTTTTCTACACGTTTTAAGAAAAGTGTTACTTAGTAAAGGACAGTTTTATAACCTCTGTAATTATCTATTTAGGTCAAGACATGTTCTTCAGCCACCAAGTTTTTAAGATGAAGTCAGCACATGTTTAACAATTTCATTTGCCCATGAGAGTAAATCAGAAGAACACACAGATGGTTCAGCAAGAAAAGCACCCACCGCCAAGCCTGACAGCCTGGGTTCTAGCCCCAGGACCAACATGATAGAAATAGAGGCTCCAATCCCCCCTTCCCCCACTCATTGACCCCTGACCTCCACACTCCTGCAGAGGCATGCATCTGCACATACACATATAAAATAAATAAACCGTAATTTTTAAACTCCTAATTAAGAGAGGAAGGTAAAACTTGCCGGTTCTCTTTAAACGTCTGACTGGCAACAGGGATATATGAATTGCAGATCCTACTTTTTTTTATAGGGCTTGGAAAGGAATACAGGGTGGCAAAGACACTGCTCACTGGACCACCCCCCCGGTCTTAAGCACAATTTTTAACAAAAGATTCAAGCTGCCTGTCCTCTATACGTATTAGCACGTGGGCACCACCCACAGACCAGGGTATTGAATTTTATTTTTTAAAAAAAACCTTTCCAAATTATTTAGAGAGTAGAGAATTTATTTTTTTAAGCACAAAGAGAAGGAAGAAGGTTGAGCCCAATCAATTTCACTTGAATAATTCAAGCTTAGAGACTTAATAATTAACTAAACACTAAACACATTGCGCGGGTGTTATTTTAAATGTTCCACTGCCAGTGTGAACGTGCTTGTTAATGAAACTGAGCTCAAACCAAAGAAAGGGGCAGCCCCCGTGGTAGGGTACAGCGCTTGAACAGCTACAGCGCCCCCGTGGTGGGGTACAGCGCTTGAACAGCTACAGCAAACCATGGGCTGTCTGGCAGGGGGCTCTTTGGGAAAAGAGCCTGAGGGAAGGCCTTTGTGAAATTCAGCCTAGGAGTCAGAGGTTGAATGTACACCACAGCACACACCCAGCACTGCTGAAATAACCAGAGTTTTATGGAGATGTTGAGGACTAACCCTACCATTCAGAAAAGAATAGACGGGGGACAGGACTATAGAATGGTAGGTTAAGAAAGGACAGAGTGATTAAACAGCCACTTTCCAATTAATTCTCCAATTCAGGGCTAAGAGTAAAGCAAACAACAACAACAAAAAAAAAAGGTCGTGTACCAATTTATATTTATAACACCCAGCCCTATGCTTAACTCGGTACATCTTACTCAAGAATAGACATGGTTTCAATAACGGAGAACAAGGCCTGGGAAATAGCTCTGTAGACAAAGTACTTGCCATGTAAGCATGAGAACTTGTGTTCGATTCCCCAGAACCACATAAGAAGTTAAGCACAACTACAGGCCCGCGGAACTCCGCACAGAGGAGGCAAAGCCAGAGAGCTCCCTGGTTTGCCAGACTGGCCTCCTTGGCAAATGCTGTGCCGGCGCACCTTTACAATCTCCCTCAAATGTACACCGGCACACAGGGAACACATCCATCGATTTATGATAACGGCGTCAAAAGCAGGGTCCATGCATAGTAGGACTTAATGTAAAGTCAAACCTCCATATTTGATGTTTTATGTCCCCAGTGTCAGCCAACCACAGACAGCAAATACACTAACAACGTACGCACGTTTTTTGTCAGCCTTCCATAAACAACTCAGTATAATGACTAATCGCACAGCATTTATATTAGGTATTTAAAATAATCTAGGAGTGTTGGAAAGTATATAGGAGGACATGTGTAAGTTATATACAAACACTATATAAGGAACCTGAGCAATCTTGAATTATAATGAGGTGGGGGCAGAATGAGAAGAAGTCCCAGAACTAATCTCCAGCAAATACCAGGAAGTAACTATAATCCCCCAACCCTCTGCCACCTACAAACCCACAAGCCTAGTTGCAGACCCGAGCCCTTGAGCCCTCTTTGTGCATTAGCTGCCTTTCCTAGATAAGAGTGGCTAGCACCCCTCCCCCCCAAAAAAACTCTTTACAGTGAATGGAGACTATCTCAGGAAACCACAATTGGACACGATGCAGAGATCAATGGATTGTGGAGATACCAGGACCAACAGATACATCTACATCATAGCTCCTGCATCTATGGCTCGGGGATCACCTAGGAAAAAGGGGACAGAAAGATTGTAAGAGCCAAGATACCAGTAAGTCTGTGAAACATTTCTCCCCTAGAAATAGCTGTATAAACAAGAGTGGTAATATCAATGGACATGTTAACATGAAGGGAGACATTTTTTTGTAGGATAGAGAACTACAGGCAATTAATAACTGCTGGGGGAGAATTAGCCTCTCCCAGAGACAAGCCCCTATAGTGATTGTCAGCTGCAAAGTGGCAGTCCCCAAATATGCACATAAACAGCTGAAACAGAATCAGCAGTGTGTGCGTGTGTGTGTGTGTGTGTGTGTGTGTGTGTGTGTGTGTGTGTGTGTGTGTGTGTGAAGAAAAGAAGCTATCATCTTGAGAATGTGAGAAGGACCTAGAATGTAATTCTATTTCAATTTAAAACATCGTTTTTAATTTTAAAAAACAGTTACGTAGAATCATCAAAGATCATTTACTCTCTCCCCTTTAGGTCCACTTATCCTCTGAAGACAGAATGCAGTAGCCAATGCTAATCCTTACATCAATGGCAAAATCCCACCATTCAAAGGGAAAAGAGAGGGAGACTTTCTAATGAGTGGTTGCTTTCCTTTAAACGTTTTTACTTTTTACCATTAGTGGCAGGGGTGGGTGCTTGCCAAGGCACACATGGGGAACTCAGAGGACAGCTTTGGTCCAGAGTTTGAACTTTAAGTTTGATCCTCGACACTCAGTGAGGCTACTCTTGGGAAGTAGAAACAGGAGGATCCCTGGGGCTCCCTGGCCAGCTAGTCTCGTCAAACGGATCACCTCCAGATTCAGTGAGAGATCCCTTTCTAGGAGAGACCTTATCAAAAACTAAGTTGAAGAAGAATTGAGGAAGACACAGACATCAACCTGAGGCACATGCACATACCTCCACACAAATACACACCTTCTACAGGACTAGGATATCACTCAAGAATATATATGCTTGACAGT